AACAGCCAACAACTACAACAGCCAACAACTACAACCAACCAGCAACAATCAAAAAGTAAAAGCTGGCCACATCCAACTAAACAACAAATGACAACCAACAGCCGACCACTGCCACTGCCAACAACAGCATCGACAACATGTTCAACAAACGAAAAACCATGAAACAAACGAAGACAACATGAGTTCTGCTGGGCTGAGGATCCCAAAGCGCATCGGAGTTTTCTCAAGAGAGTGCATTGCTCAGTTGCGCAAGCTTGTGGGGTATGCCCAGTCCTGATTTGCTGGGGTGCTTTGCACCACTTCGCACCATTTTGCAACATTTTCGATTCGAATGTGAACGCCTGTTAAGACAGCCATCCCGGAACTGAAGATGGAGGACCTTTTAGCGAATGCCTTAGCCACTCTATGTTTTTTTTGCTCCGGGGTCCGGGGTCTCCATAGTCTAACAACTCACGATTCGTGAGGTTGGCAGCACCGTCACCATCTATGCGAGACACATGAAGGCCAAACACCATTTGTGCACAACGATGCAGCTTTGTAGTGGTCATTTTTGCATTTGCCAAATTCAGGTCAAGGCATATGCTGATGCACACACGCCGCACACTCAAAGTGAAAGCAACTTCTCTTCAAGCAGCTTGAGCAAGGCACAAAGTCAAACTCCATTGAATTTTATCGGTTTCAAAGAGGGTGAACATCTTGGAAGGCAGGGTGCGCTGGAATCCAAGCGGACTGGGTGGGAACCTGAACTTGAGACGGGCAAATATCTTCATAAACTGTTGGATCCGGTGCAGAAACACTTGAGGCTAGCAATTCTGCTGCAGCCAGCAGCATTCCCTCAGTTGGGCACTTAGCAAACAATGATTCTAACTTCGATTGGGAATCTGACTGAGGTTGGGACAATTGGTTAGCTGTATCGAGTCTGGGGGTCTCAAGATTAAGAGGCTTCGTGGGGCACCCAGCTGAGGTTTTTCAAGGATCATTTTGTCTATTCCTGAAGCCATATCTGTTGAGGTCTTGTCAACGATAAGGGTCCAACAGTGGCTATGGAGGCGCACGTGCATTGCTTTTTTTGTTCTTAATGAGTAATTTGTGTGCAAGAAGGATGCGTGAGGTGGTTGGTGATGATGCTGATCTACTTTGGAGCCAAGCTTGCGGTCACTTGCCTGCTGCTGCATACAAGCAGGCGCGAGTGATTGAATCTATATGACCGCAGGGCAAGGCTTGCCTAGCTCTTGTAGGTGCAAAGAGACCAGATCGAGCCATACTTCTCAGACAGGGAGCTTTGCATGCTTACATACTTCTTTACTGTTGTACTTGAAAGCCGATCCTGATTTTATCTGAATTGGTTGCAGGAGCGGTTTCCTTGCACGGCCGCCTTTGATCACTGCACTTTGTGCATTGTCAGGCCCTGCACGTGGCATGTTTATGCAACATGCTTGATGCAGTGTTGGACTTTTTCCGCTTCGCTGTTGTCGATGCTGGGTTGCTCCTTCTATTTTCCATGGCCTCTGCTACAAACCCAAACGCAGCATCAAACAGTTGTAAGCATGTTCGTCTAGGCATGTGGCATGAAGACACCACGCCTTGATCAGGCCCCATGCAATGAAGGCGGGCACAGAGCTGGCTATTGGGCAGCCTCAGAGATGAAGTAAGGCTGGCAAAGCTGGGGAGATCATGATGGCTATCCAAGCAGCTGGCCTGGAAATCTCCGCAGCGTCGTGGCCCAAGAGCTGTTGTTGGCACCAAGTGACGAGCTCGTGCTCCAAGGGAAATGCTTCACCTTCAGCATGCAGAAGCTGCCGAGCTTTTGGATGTGTACAAAGGAGTAGGATCCTCAGCTTTGTCCCTGCAGATGCCACGGCCATGCATGATGGGCTTGAGGTGGTTCCCTACCACAAAGAGATGGTTGATGGCATGAGCATTGCCCCAATGCTTGCTTTAGCCAGAGCCTCAGCTGGGCATGTGAGCAAGAGAATCAATGTGTTCTGAACACTTGTGTGTTGACAGCCTGCCAGGAAGTGCGAGCAGAAGATGCGGCAGTGGCAAGCCGTTCGCATTGTCATGCCTACTGGTGAACTGGCTGTTGACTGGCGTGCCAGGAGAAGCTGCGGGAGCTTTGTGGACCATACGATGTCGACATGGCCTTGACTGGCCTGCTTTCGCTTTCAAAAGCTGCAATATTTTAATATTTTGAATGCTTTTGTTGCCTTCGACGGCCAGGCGCGGCATCTACGGCCGCAATCCCTCAGGGCTCGCTTCGGCGTGGATAACGCGAACAATGGCCGTGAGCTCGGGTGCCACCGACTCAATCTAACTCACTGCACCTGATGCAAGGCGTCCACGCCACGGACCTGGAGGAAGATGCTGAATTCGAGGCGGGGAGCAAGCGGAGCAAGCGGAGCAAGCGGCGCAGTGATATACTGAATATACTGAACGCATCAGAACCGCTTATGGGCCATATGAGCATGCTTTGATGAGCCCAGTGCCAGCTGTTGATAGCTGTTGTGCCCCTTGCACCAGGACCTGTTTTCAGAGTAGGGAATCAGTGACTTTGGAAAGTCTGCTTCCGGTTCAGCAAGTTGTTCTGGCTCACACAAGCACGCACACACACACACAACAGGCGCAAACACAAAAACAGGTGCTGAACGGACTCCGCTTCTTGCCGGGAGTGATTCAAGTGAGCCTATGGCAAGTGATGACAAAAGTTTGGTCTTTTTCATCGCTGAGGATGTTTAGTATCCTTAGAGAGTTGCACCTGCATGAAAGACGTCGATCTTACTAATGCATATCCTTACAACTCCCCACTACACCTTGTGTAAGCTGGTATGCTGCAGAGTCAAACATACTCCAAACAGTTTGTGTGTTTCCAAGCCATTGTAGCTCCAAGGTGCGGTATGTCTTCGAGATGCTGGCCATTCAGGCAAAGCTCAGTGCCCACTGCTCTCATGAATGCCAAACGCGCCAGGCTAGGTGAGGATTCGCAGCCTTGAAAGGGCTAAGTTTCACCAAGGGTGGGCAAACCTTGACACCAACCGCCTTGCAGAGGTAGACCAATGCGTGTGTTTGCCCATCCTCATCTGTGCAAAAGCCGAATGTGATTGCGCGACCTGCTGGGGTACTGGGTTCTGTGAAAGCAAGGCCGTTGAGTGCGATGGGACTTGTTTTCGGCTGTGTCTTGGAGGATTCGGGTAAGCTTTCATGCGGCAATCATTGATCTTACCAATCTGGCTCAAAGCGACCAGAGGCTATACTGGTCACACGCTTACTTGCATCGGCATTTGGAGCCAATGCTTACTTGGCGGCGTCTTGTCCGACCAGCAGTGCGCCTCTTAGACCTAAACGAGTCTTGGACCAGGCACTAGTCCAGAAGTGAATTTCTTGGCAGGGGGCTGTAGCAGCATCTGCAGCAGCCTTTGCAGCCAGCACATCGCAGCCAAGCAAATGTGATGACAAGGACATGAAGATATGGCGTTGCTGAATTACTGTGGTGCTTGAGCTGGTCTGTTGCAGGATCCGCCACATCCTCCGCGATATCCGTTCTGGGTGCGCTGGGGCTTTGACATGAAATTCAGCGTCTTTCAACCCTGATAGGACTACACTTTAGTTGAAGTCTTGCATACGCGCAGGTGAAGTCTATTTTTCATTCGCATGAGATCCCCAGCGTTCGCCTGGGTCTTGTGAGCCGTTGGCATCGTCAAAACGTGTGACATGTTGAGTGCCAAGGACGTGGCTACGAGGTCTATCGTCAGGTTTGTGCCACGCCATCATCCAAGATTCAGACAATGCTTCGTAGGGGCAGCCCTGTACAAAGACCTTTCTGGGAGTCCACAATCAAGCAAGAATGCACGCAAGGAAATACAAATCAGGTGCCACTCCATGAAGCAATTGCACTTCCGCCACTTGAGCAATTTTGCCCTCTCCCCAGCATGATTGCAGCTGAATCGGATGTACTGCGAGCTCAGCACGTGAGGTCTTGCCAGAGAAGCGCATGAAGGAGATTGCGGCATCCTACGATGTTGTGGACGGACCAAACGATGAGGCCGATCTTGGCTACTGGTTTCCCTGAATTCAGAGCCAAGAGTTGTCTGGAAATCTCATGGTGTAACTTGGGGCGACTTGTTGCGGCTTGACATTCTGCGATTTAGCATAGGATGGTATCAGATTGTTCTGATATTTTACAGTACTTGTGACAGCAACGCAAACACATAGATGACAGCAACTGATCTGGATACGTGATATGGCACGATGCGACGCAGGTATGCTGAAGTATGATCGGTTTCGATACGTGCATCAACAGCATTAACGAATAAGGGAGGGTGTGGACAGAATAACCTAATCCGTAAGCTTGCTTTGCAGTCCTTGTCAATGATGATGATGATGATGATGATGATGATGATGATGATGATGATGACGATGATGACGACGATGATGACAATGACGACGACGACGACGCCGATGACGATGACAACAATTACAACGATGATGATGACGATGACGACGACAACAACAACGATGACGATGCTGCTGCCGATGATGTTGCTGATGAGGACGATGATGACGACAGTGACGTGTTTCATGAGGATGTTGCATGGGAATATGAATATACATAATGTCCTTTGTTGTGCATTACACATCACGTGAGGCTGTGTATGTGGCATCACAGTTCACAATCGCATGCATTGCCATTTTTCCGTCATACTGCGGCCATTTGGCTGAAGCTGAATCGGGTTCATTCTTGTCGGAAACGCTCCAGGCAGACTCAGACGCAATGACTGCCCGCCGTGCTGGTGCTTTCCTGATCTTGTTGGCCCTGGTGTTTCTCCGGGATGTGACCTTCGTCTCCCCAGCTCCCAGCACACGCGCTCAGCGCTCCGTGGCAGTCTTCCTCCAGGCCACAGCCACTGACGACACCATGGGCAAGGTTGCCGAAGTGATTGCCGAGCAGCTGGGTGTGGATGCAGAGAAGGTTACCAGGGAGGCAACTCTTACCGAGCTGGGCGCTGATTCCCTGGACATCGTCGAGTCTGTGATGGCATTGGAGGAGACCTTCGATGTTGAGCTGCCCGATGAGGAGACAACTTCGCTGAAGAACTGCGGTGATGTCATGGACCTCATCCAGAGCAAGCTCTGAGAGTGTGTATAATTCGGCAGGCTGGAAGAGGCAGCTTTCAGCATTCTTCGAGTATTGTTTTTCCCTGTGGAGTTTCGCAACATGTATAGAAGGCATACAGAAAACGCGGCATGTTTTATGCCGTCACATCATGGCATGCTGTCTTATCTTCCAGCATGACACGGCATCACAGCATACAATGCTGTATCAGGCCAGCTAGGGCCTGTCTCAACAATTTGGTCATTCAATTCAAGCTCGACTTGTACCATCATATCCCATCATAAGCTCCCAGATCTTTTGAGCAGTGCTCAATCTTCCAATGCGTTTGTTCTATTTGTAATATATATATATATATACACATTTGTGGGAGTCAAGTTGCAAGCACCTCCAATTGTCGCTCCTAAACTCCCATAGTTCTGGCAACGAGGGCGAGATGTTCACGCGCCCGGGCATTTTGGTGGATGCCTTCCCCTCGTGGGAGCCTCAACACAAAGCTGCAAAGCTGGTCTGATGTTGCCGAATCTGTTGCCGAATTCCAAAGCCCCGAATTCCATGTGAGGCCATACCCAAATGAGGAAGCTGCGCGCTATGCAAATGGCGGCGCCAATCCTCCCGATTTGTCTGTTACATGCTTAGTGTTCTGAGCCCTGGTCACATTGTGTGCTTGCTGTATTTGAGGTGTACACCACGGCCAAGCACGAGGGCGTGGACTACATTTTTGCCTTGCTGCACAAATCTCAGTCAACCCCATTCTGTGCCACGGGGTAGAAGGAATATCCCAAGCTGGTGCGTGCTCAAGGTTGGGGTACCGTGATCCTCCAGCCGGAATCGAAGTGCGTGATGGGTGCTTTTCTGAGAAATGGTTTGCATCAGGCAGTGTGCAAGCACTGCAATGTGAGGCTTTACTACAATGTCTACTTCCCTGGAGGTGCTTGCAAAGACCAGTATCAAAATCCATGGAAATCTTGTGGCTTGCAGCAGCCTAGCTCTGGCGCATGAAGGCCTGATTGGAATGCCAAATCCTCTTCACGCAGATGGTCTTGTGGACTATGAGGAAGCAACTTGAGTAATTTGTTGCCGTGCATGTTGGCCTGCCGAGACCGTACTAGGATGGCACTCCATGCACCAAATCTCAGATGGCCAAAGACGTTGTGAACTTCCTGTGACACAAACTTAGACGGAGACGGCAAGAAGGCACGAAGTAAAGCAATGTGAGCATGGCATTGGGACTTAGGCTGGGCTTCGGAGCCAGCCCACGATGAGCGCAAGCTCATGGGCCTGAAGGCATGAGACTCATGAGACTCGTGCGACTTGGATCCATGTGTCCACATATGTGACTTAGGCAATGTCTGCCTGCTTGATGGGCACGGCCATTGTGGGATTCTGGTACCGAAGCATGTGGATTGGGTGCTCCCAGCCATGTCAGATTCAGATGAACTGCAACAGTTTCCTTCCTGTACGTCTATCGCGCCAGGTTTAAGACTCGCCGCATTGACTTCACCAAAGCAGTCATGTGAGCTGCCTAGCGCCTTGCGTTTAGTGCTCGTGTGGATTCTTGCAAATGCAGTGTTGGCCTTCCCATGATTCTTCAACTTGAATCAGCGACTGAACTATGTACGATATGACTTATGTTGGCAGTGTATCGGATGTTTCACGACTGGATGCCTTACAATGGTTCCCACCTGCTTGGGCTGGCTCCGTGCCAGTCTTAGCAGTGCGTGGAGCTTATTCGCCTCTTGCTCGTCGCAAGAGAGAAAAGTGAGCGTGGGGCCGAGCCGTGGAAAGTCTTGTTGCCGGGGATGAAGCCCCTGCCGAGGTTGCCGCCCAATCAAGCCAAAGCACAGTTTCCCGCAAGTCGCAAGTCGAACTGAACAGAATGCAGTTATTGTTGTCCGTCTCCTGAGCAGAAAGAACTGCTTGACAGATTCTGCATGTGTCTCGGTCCTGAGCATCTCAACAACTGATCACTACAGTTCTTTAGCGGCTTCGTCATCCGTCCTGGGCATGAGCCGTCGAGGGAAAGCAGACAGCGTCTGGCGGCGCCAGATCATCAGGCGCACCTTCGAGATGTGGTGGGCGGTTAGACAGGTTCACTCAGGTGCTTGCTCATAGCTGCCTGCATTGCCATCTCTGTGCCGCGGGCACCGACAGGCCTGTGGAGTTGCATAGTCCATACTCCTTGCCCTCATGGCTCACAGTTTAAGGCCTGGCCCTGGCAGAGCCTGGCCTGGTCGTTGCGGTCAGGGGCAATGCCGTGGCCGTGTCTTTGGAAGGATCGATACGCAACAATCATTTGAGCTACTTGAGCCACTTGCCCACGCGAGGTGAGCCCGGGTGCACGTGCGACATGAGTGACCTTTTGCAGGCTCTGAAGCGTTCCGACGTCCAGATACTGCAAATGTCTCCTACCGTGGATCGGACAGTGTGAAGCTTGTCAGGACTTGAACACATGGACACAGTCTGATGCTAGGCGCATCTTGGTCGTGCACTTAAACATGATCTTCCTATCTGACCAGATGCCAGGGAGCAGGAGGCCGTGCCATACGCCTACCGAACTTTTGGTTTTCCTCATGTCCAGCGAAGTCTGCGAAAGCTCTGGGAACAAGGCCGCCTAATGGTATCCTGCCGCCCGGCATTTCGCTTTGAGATTCATACACAATACGTAGATATTTTTGTATCGATATATATTTTTGCATGAGTCCATTTCTTTAGCGCTTCAGGTTATGGTGCCTTCACATGGCTGCGCACTGGCTACTTGAATGCAAGTGAATGCGACACAAGGCGCTTGGATGTGGATGTTGTCCAGGAAGCCGTGCAGTGCCTGATTTGCCGCCTGATGCATCTGATGTGGCGCGCAGCATGGCTCGTGTTTCCGATCGAGCAAGCACGGAAGCCTCGGATGAAGAGCTACGCCAATGGATTGGGAGAGAGTCTTGGATGTCCTGCAAAATTGGAACTCTCAAGGGATGTACAGATTTGCTCTATGATAGGTTCAGGTTTGATGCTGTGTAAATCCAAAGTAGCCAGGCCACAGCCCAAAGGTCGGCAGTGGGATGGCCCCTTCCAGCCTAAATTGGTCGAAACGGCGATGAAAAAAACACCAGCCAACTTTCGGTGATTTTGCCTAAACGTGTGGGTTCAAGGGCAGGCGAGTCATGCTTTAGCACATCCTTGGCATGAATTCAGCTCGAAGCAAGGAATATGGCGAAGATGGCCTGGAGAGATTGCTGCAAACTGCTGAGAAGGATGCTGGGAGCCCATGTTGCTGCAGCCAGTTTTGCACATGTGGGCCTCAGGAGTCTGCAGATGCGCTGCAGGAGTTGAAGGACCAGTTCCGTATCTTTTGGCTCGCTTGGACGTGTGCGATGCGACTTGCGTGCAGGACTTTTTCAGCTGGTTTAGAGAACACTTCCCCTACTACCATGGAGCCTGCGAGTATTGCAGCAATGACTCAACACACCTCCTAGGTATAGTGAGGCTGGTCCTTTTTCTGGGCCTTGGCTCTACATCAAACCAGCTTTGATTTGTCAGGCCAAGCGATGAGGAAATGCAGACTGGAGGTGCAGGAGTCTCCGAGCTCTATTCCTGCAAAGGTCGGCCATGTTATACAAGGCAGCAGTTGACACATTCTGAGAGATATGAGGTTGCAACTCCACGACGCACTTCCCTCGGTTTAGAACAGTCAGACCTGTGCTAGCCTCACATCGTGGTCGATGTGGTGAGCAGCCTGGATGCAGTTTGACCATTGTAACTGATTGGAGGAAGCAATGTGAGAGACTGCCCTGCACTTGCAAGAAATTTGAGACATTCTTAAACACGCTCTCCAGTACCGTTGACATCCCAGCTTGGCAAGGTATTCCTGGATGGCGGTGAGATTCCTAGAAGCCCTGGGTTTCCCCGCCAGATGGGCCGAGTCCTTAGGCTGAGTTGGGTGCACGGGTTGTATTGTGCGCAGTGTCTGCTCAGCTGATACGCACCGTCTTCTGGCTGTCAAGGCAGACAAGTGTTTTAAGGCTTAGGGTTTCGGGTGCAAATGCCAACGAAGTCCATTACACCAAAGTTTAGCTCGATCTGATGGGAATTTGATTTCACGGATCATCGTCGAGTGAATGTATACAGGCTTTCTGAACAGAGAAAGTCGGATTTCGATGTCATTTTGTTTTTTGCAAGATTCTTGAATTTGGGGTCCTGCCAGTTGCAATCCAGGTCGACAACCATGCTGGCCATGTGTGGGCTGAAGCGGGAGTGGGTGGACGCTGGGTGCATATCGATCCATGCGAGGCAGCAGTTGACGAGCCTGAGCAGAATTGGGTAATGGGTGCAAGTCTTCAAGCCGCTCGAGTTGTTGCAGCTTGCCGTGTAGAAACTCGCAAGGAACCTCTTCTGTATGCGGTGCAATGGGGAAGATGTCCGCAACATGTCCTAGCGTACCAGGATCTGGGCTGGCCAATGCAGTCTCAGCAGTGCGTGACGGGTCCAGGAAGAAATTTGCAAGATCTGTTCTTTTCTTGCAGTTGACTTGTCAAGATTCATTTTCCCTGCCAGATCAATGAATCCGGAACTACTGTCCATGACGTCACCCGGGAGTACCGCCCTGCAGATGCTGAGGAACTTCCACAGGCTGGACCAAGATAAGGTGTAAGATTGATCTTGAGATGCTACATGAGCAGCGCCCACAACCCCACAATGATCTTTATCTAAACGGTTAGCTTCTGCGAAAGCAAAACCCTGCATCGCAAAAGCTCGCGAAAGCGTTTTCCGAAAAAAACTCAGTCCCCGAAGGCTCCGCAAAGGCTCCGCAAAGGCTCCGCGAAATGGCTGCTCGTGTGTTCAGACGCTTGGGGGAGGCAGCGCGAAAGAGTGCCAGAACATACATTTTCTCATCAGTGCGCACAGGCTGTTTGCCAGTTTCAAGAATGCAGGGGGATTTGGATCCAAGGGCTGGCCTCTTTTGCACGCGATTCTTGTACTGAAAAGTTGCGTTTTTTGAGCCGGAGCTGCCAATGTGCACTTGGTGTGCTAAGCTTGTTCTGAATGTTGCAACTTCAAGCCGGAGCTACCACGTGTACTAAAGCCGGGCGCCCCAATTTCAAGGAGCCGCCGAAGCGTCGCGAAAGGGATGATGCAAAACAAGCCTCTGTAAAAGGAAACCGCGCGCGCGCGAAAGCTTCGCGAAAGCCCCACGAAGAAGCACTATGAGGGTAACCAAATCTTGATTGGTTGTGAGCCTTGCTCAGATGAAGCTGTCGGCGCTATTCCTCCTTGGCACAAGCATTGAGGCCACCACCAGACAAGTGGCAAAAGCTCTTGCAGGGGCTGCTCAGCAAGCAGAGCCTTGGATCAGATGTTTTTCTGTACGTGCGGAGTGCGTGGTTTTGGTGTGTCTGCTTGCTTTGCTTTGCTTTGCTTCGCTTCGCTTGCTTTGCTTGCTTCGCTAGCTTTGCTTTGCTTGCTTTGTTTGCTTTGTTTGCTTTGCTTGCTTCGCTAGCTTTGCTTGCTTCCCTTTGCTTGCTTGCTTGCTTTGTTTGCTTTGCTTGCTTTGTTTTCTTTGCTTGCATTGCTTGCTTCCCTTTGCTTGCTTGCTTTGTTTGCTTTGCTTGCTTTGTTTGCTTTGCTTGCTTCGCTTTCTTCGCTTGCTTTGCTTTGCTTGCTTGCTTTGTTTGCTTTGCTTGCTTCGCTTTCTTTGCTTGCTTCGCTAGCTTTGCTTTGCTTGCTTGCTTTGTTTGCGTTGCTTGCGTTGCTTGCTTTGCTTGCTTTGCTTGCTTTGCTTTTACTTCGCCTGCTTCGCTTGCTTCGCTAGCTTTGCTTGCTTCGCTTTGCTTGCTTGCTTTGTTTTCTTTGCTTGCTTTGCTTTGCTTGCTTTCTTGCTTTGCTTTTCTTGCTTGCCTTGTTTGCTTTGCTTGCTTTGCTTGCTTTGCTTGCTTGCTTGTGTGTTTGTTGTGCGAGGAGCGCCAGCAGCATGAGGAAATGGGAGCGGAACTTCTGAGTTTTGCCTTGTTCTAGAGAGCTGGCAAGACCATTTTTTCACGAGCTGCTTGAAGCGTGAGCTTGCAGAACCATTCGGCCCAAGCTGGTGGGGTGCGGATTTCAATTCCTCCCGCTCATCTATGGCTGTGGAAGGCCAATTGCCAGAAAAGCAGAACGGATGCTTGGCGAACTCGTACGCACTTGGCGTATGCGCCTTTGTAGCTTTCACTGGATTCTTTCATGGCTATGACAATGGGGTGGTGAACGATGTATTCACCATGCCAAGCTTTCGCAGCATGATGGGATGGCCCGAGGAAGACAATGCTACTGTCGCGTTATGGGAAGGCTTCACGGTGAACGGTTTCAACCTGGGAGCTGCAATTTCGGCAGTTCTAGCGGGCCACCTTTTGGTGGACAGACATGGCCGCTGGCCTGCCTTGCTCGTGGGCTCCCTGCTCTTTGCAGCAGGCGGGGCTTTGCAAGCAGCAGCGATGAACACCGCCATGTTGATTCTTGGCCGAGTTGTGGCTGGTGTGGGCGTTGGAATCACCTCTTCGGCTGGCCCAGCTTTCATCGCAGAGGTGGCACCAGAGAAGATTCGCGGCATGCTTGTGGGAATCTACCAGAACAATGTTTGTTTAGCCATCGTGGCTGCAGCTCTCCTGAACTACTTTGTTCATGATCTCGAGGTTGGATGGAGGCTCTCCCTCGGCCTGCAAGTAGCCATGGGCTGCTTGGTTTGTGGTGGCCTGTACTTTGTTTGCGAGACACCTCGCTTTCTGGAAAGCAAGGGACGCTCTGCCGAGGCGCTTCAAATTCTGACTCGTTTGCGCTCCGGGGATGAGGCTGTGGCATCCCAAGAACTCAAGGAGGTGCAGGCAGAGCTGATGGAGGAGCAGCAAACCGGTGAAGCCACGTGGGCCGAAGTCTTCACAACTCCATATTTCCGAAATGCGGTGGTGATCGGATGCTTGACACAATTCTTCCAGATCATGACTGGCATCAATGCAATGGTCAGCTTCAGTGGAACGCTGTTCCAGGCATTGGGCGTTGCCGGCATTGTCCCATCTCTGATACCCTTTGTCTCTTTCACGCTGGGCAATGCAGTTGGCAGCTTCTTGCTGGTGGATCGTGCTGGGCGACGAGTCCTGCTTCTCTGGGGCATGGCTGCCATGTGCGTTTCGATGATGGTGGGCGGAATCACGGCTTTGGCTGCTCATGACCCTGAAAGTGATTCCATTATTGATCGCAGGATGGAAAGGCAGTTGGGCTGTGCACAGCGATGAACTGGGGTCCTGCCAATTGCGTTCTTGACTCCCAGATGATCGCCTCACCCATGTCTATTCTTTGGATGCGTCTGCCTGATGGTCATCCCCTTTGCAGCCACCTGCATTCCAGAGACCAAGGGAAAGACGCTGGAAGAGGTGGTGCCACTGTTCCGCTTGGTCCGGCTTTCGAAAGTTTGTCAAGGGCAACTGGCAAGGAGGCCTCGGATATGTCAGTATGCTGAGTATCACTGTACCAATCAAAGTAGTTGCATTCCACGCAGTTTTACGATTTTGAACCTCAAGGGCTTGCACGAGGCTGCCCTCTGTCGAATAGACACCAATTAATTGCATGCACCGGGCTTGCATGAGGCAGCCCTCCGTCGATCAAGACCTAATTCATTGCATGCAAGCATTGCATGCAACCATTGCATGCAATCTCAGCTTTGTTCAGAGGTTTGGCAGCGCATCTTTCCGTTTAGCGTTTTCCATTGGGAAAACGTGCTGTCTTGGGAATTGTTTGGAACAAACTGACATGGCACCCCGTGTTTGTGAACACCATGTCGGCCCTCGGGCTTTCCCGAGATGGAACCCGAGAGGGAGCGCGTTCTTGCTGCCAGACCTTTGATATATCACTTCAAGCATCTCCCACAAGCACCAGGAAAGGAAGCACAAGCGCAGTCTCTGCCTGGTTGCCGAGCTTTGCACCTACATTTGTTGGTTCATATCTTCGTACGGGTGTTTGTTTTCGCGCTTGTGTGTGTGTGTGTCTTTGTGAATACATATATATATATATTACTCGTACATGCATATATGCAAGATACTTTTTGTAGACACGCATTATCCTAGGACAGTTTCTGTAATGCCACTGTTTGTTTTTGTGTGGACGGCTTGTGACTGGGGTACTTTGTTTGGTAGTAAGGACTGGTGACTCAGGTGCTTTGGACATGTCTCCTTCTTAACCCGCCTTTTTCCAAGTTGTACAAGCACAAATCTAAGCCACCCAGTGAGTACTACCAGAATGACAGTTTGCAAACTGTCGTTGAGCAGAGCCAGTCTCAAGCTGTCCACGCTGACAAGACCTTTTTTTCACGAGCTGCTTGAAGCGTGAGCTTGCAGAACCATTCGGCCCAAGCTGGTGGGGTGCGGATTTCAATTCCTCCCGCTCATCTATGGCTGTGGAAGGCCAATTGCCAGAAAAGCAGAACGGATGCTTGGCGAACTCGTACGCACTTGGCGTATGCGCCTTTGTAGCTTTCACTGGATTCTTTCATGGCTATGACAATGGGGTGGTGAACGATGTATTCACCATGCCAAGCTTTCGCAGCATGATGGGATGGCCCGAGGAAGACAATGCTACTGTCGCGTTATGGGAAGGCTTCACAGTGAACGGTTTCAACCTGGGAGCTGCAATTTCGGCAGTTCTAGCGGGCCACCTTTTGGTGGACAGACATGGCCGCTGGCCTGCCTTGCTCGTGGGCTCCCTGCTCTTTGCAGCAGGCGGGGCTTTGCAAGCAGCAGCGATGAACACCGCCATGTTGATTCTTGGCCGAGTTGTGGCTGGTGTGGGCGTTGGAATCACCTCTTCGGCTGGCCCAGCTTTCATCGCAGAGGTGGCACCAGAGAAGATTCGCGGCATGCTTGTGGGAATCTACCAGAACAATGTTTGTTTAGCCATCGTGGCTGCAGCTCTCCTGAACTACTTTGTTCATGATCTCGAGGTTGGATGGAGGCTCTCCCTCGGCCTGCAAGTAGCCATGGGCTGCTTGGTTTGTGGTGGCCTGTACTTTGTTTGCGAGACACCTCGCTTTCTGGAAAGCAAGGGACGCTCTGCCGAGGCGCTTCAAATTCTGACGCGTTTGCGCTCCGGGGATGAGGCTGTGGCATCCCAAGAACTCAAGGAGGTGCAGGCAGAGCTGATGGAGGAGCAGCAAACCGGTGAAGCCACGTGGGCCGAAGTCTTCACAACTCCATATTTCCGAAATGCGGTGGTGATCGGATGCTTGACACAATTCTTCCAGATCATGACTGGCATCAATGCAATGGTCAGCTTCAGTGGAACGCTGTTCCAGGCATTGGGCGTTGCCGGCATTGTCCCATCTCTGATACCCTTTGTCTCTTTCACGCTGGGCAATGCAGTTGGCAGCTTCTTGCTGGTGGATCGTGCTGGGCGACGAGTCCTGCTTCTCTGGGGCATGGCTGCCATGTGCGTTTCGATGATGGTGGGCGGAATCACGGCTTTGGCTGCTCATGACCCTGAAAGTGATTCCATAGATGCCGTCGCAGGATATGTGATTATTGCGACCATTGTTTTCTACATGTTCGCCTTTGGAATTTCTTGGGGCTTCGGTGCATGGCTCTACATATCAGAAATTATGCCGCTGCGTGTCCGTGGAAAGGCAGTTGGGCTGTGCACAGCGATGAACTGGGGTCCTGCCAATGTCCTCAGCGCGTTCTTGACTCCACAGATGATCGCCTCACCCATGGGCCCTGGGGGCACCCTTCTATTCTTTGGATGCGTCTGCCTGATGGTCATCCCCTTTGCAGCCACCTGCATTCCAGAGACCAAGGGAAAGACGCTGGAAGAGGTGGTGCCACTGTTCCGCTTTTCCGGCTGGTCCGGCTTTCGAAAGTTTGTCAAGGGCAACTGGCAAGGAGGCCTCGGATATGTGGAAGCACAGTATGCTGAGTATGCGGACACTGTACCAACGTCAAAGTGAGGGGCAGTTGCATTCCACGCAGTTTTACGATTTTGAACCTCAAGGGCTTGCACGAGGCGGCCCTCTGTCGAATAGACACCAATTAATTGCGTGCAACCGGGCTTGCATGAGGCAGCCCTCCGTCGATCAAGACCTAATTCATTGCATGCAAGCATTGCATGCAACCATTGCATGCAATCTCAGCTTTATTCAGAGGTCTGGCAGCGCGTCTTTCCGTTTAGCGTTTTCCATTGGGAAAACGTGCTGTCTTGGGAATTGTTTGGAACAAACTGACATGGCACCCTGTGTTTGTGAACACCATGTTGCCCTCGGGCTTTCCCGAGATGGAACCCGAGAGGGAGCGCGTTCTTGCTGCCAGAACTTTGATATATTACTTGAAGCATCTCCCATAAGCACCAGGAAGGGAAGCACAAGCGCAGTCTCTGCCTGGTTGCCGAGCTTTGCACCTACATTTGTTGGTTCATATCTTCGTACGGGTGTTTGTGTGCGCGCTTGTGTGTGTGTGTGTCTTTGTGAATACATATATATATATATGTATATATATATATTTCTCGTACATGCATATACGCAAGATACTTTTAGATTTGTAGACACGCATTATCCTAGGACAGCTTCTGTAATGCCACTGTTTGTTGTTTGTTTGTTTGTGTGGACAGCTTGTGACTGGGGTACTTTGTTTGGTAGTAAGAACTGGTGACTCAGGTGCTTTGGACATGTCTCCTTCTTTACCCGCCTTTTCCAAGTTGTACAAGCACAAATCTAAGCCACCCAGTGAGTACTACCAGAATGACAGTTTACAAACTTTCGTTGAGCAGAGCCAGTCTCAAGCTGTCCACGCTGACAAGACCGTTTTTTCACGAGCTGCTTGAAGCGTGAGCTTGCAGAACCATTCGGCCCAAGCTGGTGGGGTGCGGATTTCAATTCCTCCCGCTCATCTATGGCTGTGGAAGGCCAATTGCCAGAAAAGCAGAACGGATGCTTGGCGAACTCGTACGCATTTGGCGTATGCGCCTTTGTAGCTTTCACTGGATTCTTTCATGGCTATGACAATGGGGTGGTGAACGATGTATTCACCATGCCAAGCTTTCGCAGCATGATGGGATGGCCCGAGGAAGACAATGCTACTGTCGCGTTATGGGAAGGCTTCACGGTGAACGGTTTCAACCTGGGAGCTGCAATTTCGGCAGTTCTAGCGGGCCACCTTTTGGTGGACAGACATGGCCGCTGGCCTGCCTTGCTCGTGGCTCCCTGCTCTTTGCAGCAGGCGGGGCTTTGCAAGCAGCAGCGATGAACACCGCCATGTTGATTCTTGGCCGAGTTGTGGCTGGTGTGGGCGTTGGAATCACCTCTTCGGCTGGCCCAGCTTTCATCGCAGAGGTGGCACCAGAGAAGATTCGCGGCATGCTTGTGGGAATCTACCAGAACAATGTTTGTTTAGCCATCGTGGCAGCAGCTCTCCTGAACTACTTTGTTCACGATCTCGAGGTTGGATGGAGGCTCTCCCTCGGCCTGCAAGTAGCCATGGGCTGCTTGGTTTGTGGTGGCCTGTACTTTGTTTGCGAGACACCTCGCTTTCTGGAAAGCAGGGAGAGGATTCTGACTCGTTTGCGCTCCGGGGATGAGGCTGTGGCATCCCAAGAACTCAAGAGGTGCAGGCAAGCTGATGGAGGAGCAGCAAACCGGTGAAGCCACGTGGGCCGAAGTCTTCACAACTCCATATTTCCGAAATGCGGTGGTGATCGGATGCTTGACACAATTCTTCCAGATCATGACTGGCATCAATGCAATGGTCAGCTTCATGGAACGCTGTTCCAGGCATTGGGCGTTGCCGGCATTGTCCCATCTCTGATACCCTTTGTCTCTTTCACGCTGGGCAATGCAGTTGGCAGCTTCTTGCTGGTGGATCGTGCTGGGCGCGAGTCCTGCTTCTCTGGGGCATGGCTGCCATGTGCGTTTCGATGATGGTGGGCGAATCACGGCTTTGGCTGCTCATGACCCTGAAAGTGATTCCATAAATGCCGTCGCAGGATATGTGATTATTGCGACCATTGTTTTCTACATGTTCGCCTTTGGAATTTCTTGGGGCTTCGGTGCATGGCTCTACATATCAGAAATTATGCCGCTGCGTGTCCGTGGAAAGGCAGTTGGGCTGTGCACAGCGATGAACTGGGGTCCTGCCAATGTCCTCAGCGCGTTCTTGACTCCACAGATGATCGCCTCACCCATGGGCCCCGGGGGCACCCTCCTATTCTTTGGATGCGTCTGCCTGATGGTCATCCCCTTTGCAGCCACCTGCATTCCAGAGACCAAGGGAAAGACGCTGGAAGAGGTGGTGCCACTGTTCCGCTTTTCCGGCTGGTCCGGCTTTCGAAAGTTTGTCAAGGGCAACTGGCAAGGAGGCCTCGGATATGTGGAAGCACAGTATGCTGAGTATGCGGACACTGTACCAACATCAAAGTGAGGGGCAGTTGCATTCCACGCAGTTTTACGATTTTGAACCTCAAGGGCTTGCACGAGGCTGCCCTCTGTCGAATAGACACCAATTAATTGCATGCAACCGGGCTTGCATGAGGCAGCCCTCCGTCGATCAAGACAATTCATTGCATGCAAGCATTGCATGCAACCATTGCATGCAATCTCAGCTTTATTCAGAGGTCTGGCAGCGCATCTTTCCGTTTAGCGTTTTCCATTGGGAACACGTGCTGTCTTGGGAATTGTTTGGAACAAACTGACATGGCACCCCGTGTTTGTGAACACCATGTCGGCCCTCGGGCTTTCCTGAGATGGAACCCGAGAGGGAGCGCGTTCTTGCTGCCAGACCTTCGATATATCACTTCAAGCATCTCCCATAAGCACCAGGAAAGGAAGCACAAGCGCAGTCTCTGCCTGGTTGCCGAGCTTTGCACCTACAGTTGTTGGTTCATATCTTCGTACGGGTGTTTGTGTGCGCTTGTGTGTGTGTGTGTGTGTGTGTGTGTGTGTGTGTGAATATGTATATATATATATATGTATATTACTCGTACATGCATATATGCAAGATACTGTTTGTAGATTTGTAGACACGCATTATCCTAGGACAGCTTCTGTAATGCCACTTTTGTCTGTTTGTTTGTTTGTGTGGACAGCTTGTGACTCGGGTACTTTGTTTGGTAGTAAGGACTGGTGACTCAGGTGGTTTGGACATGTCTCCTTCTTTACCCGCCTTTTCCAAGTTGTACAAGCACAAATCTAAGCCACTCAGTGAGTACTACCAGAATGACAGTTTGCAAACTGTCGTTGAGCAGAGCCAGTCTCCAGCTGTTCACGCTGACAAGACCGTTTTTTCACGAGCTGCTTGAAGCGTGAGCTTGCAGAACCATTCGGCCCAAGCTGGTGGGGTGCGGATTTCAATTCCTCCCGCTCATCTATGGCTGTGGAAGGCCAATTGCCAGAAAAGCAGAACGGATGCTTGGCGAACTCGTACGCACTTGGCGTATGCGCCTTTGTAGCTTTCACTGGATTCTTTCATGGCTATGACAATGGGGTGGTGAACGATGTATTCACCATGCCAAGCTTTCGCAGCATGATGGGATGGCCCGAGGAAGACAATGCTACTGTCGCGTTATGGGAAGGCTTCACAGTGAACGGTTTCAACCTGGGAGCTGCAATTTCGGCAGTTCTAGCGGGCCACCTTTTGGTGGACAGACATGGCCGCTGGCCTGCCTTGCTCGTGGGCTCCCTGCTCTTTGCAGCAGGCGGGGCTTTTGCAAAGCAGCAGCGATGAACACCGCCATGTTGATTCTTGGCCGAGTTGTGGCTGGTGTGGGCGTTGGAATCACCTCTTCGGCTGGCCCAGCTTTCATCGCAGAGGTGGCACCAGAGAAGATTCGCGGCATGCTTGTGGGAATCTACCAGAACAATGTTTGTTTAGCCAACGTGGCAGCAGCTCTCCTGAACTACTTTGTTCATGATCTCGAGGTTGGATGGAGGCTCTCCCTCGGCCTGCAAGTAGCCATGGGCTGCTTGGTTTGTGGTGGCCTGTACTTTGTTTGCGAGACACCTCGCTTTCTGGAAAGCAAGGGACGCTCTGCCGAGGCGCTTCAAATTCTGACTCGTTTGCGCTCCGGGGATGAGGCTGTGGCATCCCAAGAACTCAAGGAGGTGCAGGCAGAGCTGATGGAGGAGCAGCAAACCGGTGAAGCCACGTGGGCCGAAGTCTTCACAACTCCATATTTCCGAAATGCGGTGGTGATCGGATGCTTGACACAATTCTTCCAGATCATGACTGGCATCAATGCAATGGTCAGCTTCAGTGGAACGCTGTTCCAGGCATTGGGCGTTGCCGGCATTGTCCCATCTCTGATACCCTTTGTCTCTTTCACGCTGGGCAATGCAGTTGGCAGCTTCTTGCTGGTGGATCGTGCTGGGCGACGAGTCCTGCTTCTCTGGGGCATGGCTGCCATGTGCGTTTCGATGATGGTGGGCGGAATCACGGCTTTGGCTGCTCATGACCCTGAAAGTGATTCCATAGATGCCGTCGCAGGATATGTGATTATTGCGACCATTGTTTTCTACATGTTCGCCTTTGGAATTTCTTGGGGCTTCGGTGCATGGCTCTACATATCAGAAATTATGCCGCTGCGTGTCCGTGGAAAGGCAGTTGGGCTGTGCACAGCGATGAACTGGGGTCCTGCCAATGTCCTCAGCGCGTTCTTGACTCCACAGATGATCGCCTCACCCATGGGCCCCGGGGGCACCCTCCTATTCTTTGGATGCGTCTGCCTGATGGTCATCCCCTTTGCAGCCACCTGCATTCCAGAGACCAAGGGAAAGACGCTGGAAGAGGTGGTGCCACTGTTCCGCTTTTCCGGCTGGTCCGGCTTTCGAAAGTTTGTCAAGGGCAACTGGCAAGGAGGCCTCGGATATGTGGAAGCACAGTATGCTGAGTATGCGGACACT